TCAGGGTTTTATTCGTCAACGAAGACACGAACATTTACACTAGTGATAGTCATTATATTTGTCAGAAAATTGGACTTTCAATTTATTAGTGATGGCTTCAGTTCTTGACAGTATAATTGGATAGTCAGCGTGACCTCTACTTTAGCGTTGAACTTTAAGCAACTGATCTAGTAATTGGAGGACTTTCCATTTTCTGATCATCAGAAAATAAAGTTAAGTAGTGGAAGTCTAAGCGCTTTGGGGTTATTTTCCTCTGAGCTGTAGCATAGGAGCTTGTTGATACACATCACAGATGGTTTTTGATTCAGATGTTCAAGTCTCAGTTGCGGAATCTTGAGCTTCTTGAGACGTTGCTTGCTGGCTCCATAAGCTGGAGCATGGGCAATCGAAGTCAATCAAAGTCTCGAAAACGCATGTATACATCTTCTGCTGTAACTCGAAGTCATGACGAATTATAGAATAATCCTGAGTCAAAACAAGCGTGCGAGAATTCAATTTAAAGAGTCAGATCAAGCATTCCAGTTAGAAACATTATTCAAGACTCAAGGACCAGTTTTGGACGTGGACACTCAGCAGGTAAAGACCATGAGCAAGGAAAGCTGCCAGGCAATTGCGACATAAGCTAGCGCCAGTTTCACCTTGTTCATCAAGCTTGGACGACCAAAGAATGCATAAAGGCGGCGCACACATTCGCCGCACACATTCGTCATTCTATGGCGCACACATTCGCCATAGAACGATGCTAACTGAGCCGTTGAAGAAGGTGTATTGTAAGCAATATCTTCCATTTGAAAAATGTCATTCTTTCTTTGTCAAACGAAAGAATGCTCCATATGACAATGGAGCATGAGTAAAAATGCTGGTTGCAAAAGATTTGTCAGAGAAGCTAATTTGCCATAAGAGTAGATTCTGAGAGTTGCCAAGTTCGGATCAAATAAAACTTCTGTTCGAATGTTTCTCGCTCTGAGTCTATACAGTGGCTCGTGGCTTCATCTGGTAAGCCACTGTAACATATAAATTAAATATGATACAGTCCACCCTGAGCTTTAGAGTATTCAGTCGTGTATCCATGCAATAGGTGACACCATACAGTACTTTACTAATAGAATTTGTGTAATGTGGTTGAGAGCTGCAGGATACATGTAAGCCATGCAATCCAGAATATATACTACAATTCTCAATGATTACCTGACAAGCTTCATCGGCAGGCTGAAGGGATCACAAGCCTTCTGATTCTACTCCTTGTAATGAGAATCAGAAAAATAGACAGACAGAGAGAGAATAATGTCCATATCTAAACGCTGAATTTCTGTAATTATTCAGTTCCCTAGAAAACCGTTAAAGCCTTCTAATTTGTGAAGGAGGTTGATCAAAGATTCCCTTCCATCAATGTCATGCAATAACATTCGAATGCTTATTCGGATGCTCAAAAGGAAATCTTTGATATTTTTCAAGCGCTAGCAGGATCTAGTGTTGGTTTCTTCACTGGACTAAAATTATGAATGGAATTGCTAAGATTTTGACTATACGTTCATAGTCAATTCTCTTCTATCTCCTGAAGATCATATATTTTGTACAATTAATTTCAATTGTTCAATCCCTTGATCTCGGCTTTCTACTTACAAACTTTCTCTGCCAAAACCTATGACCTCAGTCAAAAGGTGTTGGCATAAAACTTATCACTTGTGAAGCCAATTTCCAACCAGAACAAGAAGCACATGTAATTCAAAGACTGAGGAGATGCAAAATGTATAGAGAATAGCACTTCTCCGGTAATTGTGGCTTGCAACAGATTCGTTAGAATGACTGTTTTGTGTTTTGGAGGCATGAGTAGTACTAGCCAAGGTACTCATAGATATATATTATGTTATGTCCTTCTTGATACGTATGTTCACACAAATGTCAGCGAACACATTTTGTGACATCGCAGATTCTTGAGATCCGAAATCATCATTGCCGGATTCTACACTTCAATTTTTGGACCTCATATTTTTAGTTTTCATGTCCAAATTCCGTTATTACAATGGTAGTACTACAAAAATATGTTTGTAGAAACTGTAACTGATGGCCCAGAACTGATTACAATTTTTGGTCAACTGACATTTTCCTCATTTGACCATGTTCTAAAGAGTTTGAAGGGCAAAAAGTAGCACAAAGTACTTAAAGCTTTCTGAAGGCCGACAAGTACCACACTTTGAGTGCAACTATTTACTTCCTAACATAATTTTTTTCCCCAACCCTTACATTTGTAGTAACTATCCTCAAGTTTTAAGCCGCAAAGAATTGAAGGCCACCGACAAGACCACTGCAAGTGTCTCGTAGTTTGAGGTTTCACATATAATAATGTTGGGAGGTGCCTGAAAAGGTACGTACTGATCCAATGAGACTATGCTCTGTTGAACACGTTTCAATGTGATATTTTTGTCTCTGATCTTAGCAAAACTGACACACACGAATAGCATCCTCAACTTTGAACTATCCAACTTCAAACAAGCACTTGTAAGCTTTTCGACCCTAGTTCCTCCTGCAGCTCGAACAAAACGGGCGAGAACCTGATTTACTTTATATGATGGATTTCAGCTCTCAAAGATGTGCCGGGGAAATAATATAAACAACAAGGAGGAACGTAATTGCCCAATGTGCTGAGCGTTCTGTCAAGTTATAAAGTGAATAGAGAGATGCGTCGAATTCAAGCGCACTCTTAGAGAGCACCGTCACATGAAACAGGAAAAAATCGCTGACAATGGCCAAAAGAATCCCGATGCCTCGACGAGGAAATAGTGAGAGGGCTATTAAGGGGGATCTCCCCAATCACTCAGATATGTCCCTTTGTATGCATATCAGATTTATATGTTGCTAGCGTGCAGTTCAAAACCAAAGTAGTTACTATTTACTAGACAGATAGTCCATAGTTACTATCTATATTTGCTAGAATATTAATTCATGGACTTGTAAGCTATTTCTCCTCAATTCCTCTTTTTCCGTTTGTTGATCAGTTACTTGCCAAGACTTGTGTTTGTCCTCATTGTTCTTCATTGGGTCTTGAACCTCTTCTCAGGCCCGGGTCTCTACCGTCCTCTAGTTGCTTACCTATTTCTGTAATCTATATGGGGGGCATGGGCTATTGTAATTAGTGCAAACAAGTCACGTGATTATGGATTGTTTTCATTCTGAACGATCACTTAGACTGAGTTGAAAATGTTGATGCAAGTAGGACCCTTGACTTTCTGTTACAACCTACAGAAAAGACTTCCTTGTAAAGGCATTGCGACATGTAAGATGAGTGGAAACGTCGGGGCATAAGCTCCATAAACAAGAGGCTGAAATTAGACATATCAAGCCTTCATTGTCTGAGAGGTCAACGTCATGAAGGTTGGTTCTGGTGACGGAGTCATGCCCACGGTCGCCTTTGAAATTAGCAGCGCAGTTTTGTGCGATGGTCGCTTACTATTCTGATCATCCGGATAGTGTTATTTAAAGCTTCGTGCAGTTGTTGGAAGTCTTGTTTTCAGTACGACTTCTTGAAGGAGATATTTTCTGTCCCTCTGTGGGACGGTCAGAAAGTCAGACGAGTATGTGAGATGACTGACTTCCGAAAGACTTTGTTGGACTACCAATGCAGTTTTTTTAGATGAGCTGATTAGTGCGGGGAGAGTGTATCAGGTTTTGCTGCAACATCAGAATCTCGATGTGTTCATAAACTGTATGAGGTGAAGAAAGTTTGAGTTTACTCGGCGCATCCCTTACTCTTGAAATTGTCAGAAGTCTCCACGACTCTATAATTAGGTGCTGCATGCATCTTATGGATGATGTACACTGGCATTGAAGTCCAACATACGACCCTTACTTAGGTTACACACATCTCATGATCAAGAAACTGGGCCCAAGTGAAATTACAGAAAAGTATGGTAAGATCCATAATTCTACTTAGAAGAAACCGATAGGGTAAATTGGGGCTAGGTCTATAGAGCATCACAATCGATAAAACTGTACTTAAAATATATGAACTATTTAGGTGAATGATGCAGCACCAAATGTGCTCTATCCTATATAGTAGCTAGTGCTATGTACAGCAATCATAATGGCTCTACTCTGGATGGCACAAACACAATCTCCCTAATGCAATTAAAAATGCCTCTGACTTTATAAATTTATAAGAATCTCTAAGAACATATCCAGCAGCATCCCAGTCTCCATAGTCAGGAAATTACTTTTAATATTATCTTTATATTTGATAACTTGTCCACTACCGTAATACTTATCGCACATCCAAGTTTATAGGTCATTCTCGACGCTGAAAGTGTAACAGTTGGAGATAAGTAAACATCAGGAATAATTATTTCATGTTAGTATACATAATCATTGCTAGACCATGTCAAATAGTGTAGATGTACACTAACCAAAGTCCCAAAGTCCCATGCAATGAATATCAACATTAATTCTAGGTCAAATATACAACTTCGCTAGGGATAAGAAATACCACGTTTCTACTGACATCAAAAGGTAGCATAAATTTGTAGCAGAAATCTGGAATAATTCATGTGAACACATTTTGTATCTAAAGCGATGAAGAAGAAATATATGAAAATACCCTGCAAAATTTTTAACTCATAGAGATCAAAAACGGACTTTAAATGGTCAGAGTAGTAAAGGCATAATCTACTGAAGACAGATTTGCACTAGCCTTCAACCTTCAAGTGAGTTCTATATGCTACTCATGCATACTCAATACTGTTGATTCACAGTCCACTAGGAGTGGACAATTAAATTCAACAAGTCAAAACCTTCGCTTAAGAATCCACGTGAAAAAGTGACCATCTTTTTGACCATGACTTCCTAATAGACGGAAAATTTGCAAGTAATTCATTTCTGGTCGCCACTCGCCGGCTTTGATTTTGAATACGCATAGCCTAGCAGTTGACATCTCATGTTTGCCATCTTACTTGTCCTGGTGACATTGGTTGCTGTGCCGTCTATCTTACCAGGAAGAAGACAGGTGCTGAGAAATGTGGGCTCTTCAGACATCAACAATTTCTCAGTTTTTAAAGCCTTTAGAGCTTCCTCGTTTTCATTTTCCAATCTCACTCCAGTCATCGCAACCTGTCTTCAGGCTTATGAATTTTATCTGTTGCGGTCGGAGGACAGATGCATCTGAGAAATGCTTCATCCGACTTAGTCATTCTCGTGTGGAATTCGAACGGCTGTTGAAAAGGAATCAGCCGTGTTGAGTTCATGTTACGTCTCATCCTTCTACCATTCAACTGGGACCATCTCAATTTTGTTTCACTGCTTTCTTCACTGCTTTCACTTCTTTCAGCTATGCATGCTTTACAAACAAGCACCCAGAGAAATATTCATACAGCCTGACATAGCGTTGGAGCAGACTCAGCTATAAGGTCAAGGAGTCTGCAGTTCGAGTTGCTTAAGCCGATCGTTGAAACGGGGAGAAGTCCCAAGTTCAGTCGTAGTGGTGCAACGCTGCTTTCTCTTCGTCCATTTGCTTTCTAACAGGGGCCAGCCTCGTCATGGAATGCTATGGAAACCATTCTTCGGAAGGAGTAGAGACAGCTCTGCGAGCAGATGGGCCAGATTTGACTTCGGATGTCAAGGTTTGTGTGGCAGATTCACTTCACTTCACACTTCATCCTTATGTCATGCTGGAACTCTCATGCAGAAACAAGTGAGCGAAATATTGACCCCTGAAGCAAGCCTGATGTGTGGAGATCTGTTTGTCCTTTACCCCCTGCAGATGCAATCACCGAAGCCCAACCTCTCGGAGTTCAGAGAACTATCACAACCTGGCTTGGAATCCGTGAGTGATGTGAACGTCGTGATGGCTCATCAGAACCTACCCAGAATTCAGATGATGAACGAAGAGAACAGAAGAAGAAGTGGGACAAGAGCAGCGAAGCCCCCCAGGCCTTCACCCTTGCAGTTGGATGTCAGAGGCCAATGTGCTCTATCAACTTCCATCAAACCGTCGACCTCCTTCAAATTCTCGACATCACCTACCACCAGCAGTTCCAGTTCTGCTGCATACAAGTCTTTCAACTACTTCTCACCGATTTTGAAGCGAAGGAGTTTGGGCTGGTCGGGACAACGACTGGCTAGGATTAAGACTGAAAGTTCTGGTGGATGCAAAAGTATTGGATTTGCACATTTATGAGCGTCTTGTCCTAAGTTTAAGGGTTTTGATTGCACACAGCGCTGAACATTGAACTGTGTGGGCAGATACTGTAGTCCAGTTTGAGTTGAGTGGAAGGCTGGTACGGTTTACATTTAGGAAACCATAACTGTAATAACACAGTCACGAAGAATTGAGTAGCAAACCTATCGTTGCAACGGAATAAGTGTGTAGGATCTGCCTACTGCGGGTAAGTTTTGAGTTTCCACCTCATTAATCAATTGCGTCACTACGCATCCTGAAGACCTAATGGATCATCTTGCAAAGATCGTACGTGAGAGCGAGCTCATAGATGGTTGCTGTGAATGAATGGTTCGTCTGATGAGAAGCACACAGAAACCGATCACTGAGTAGCAGATTTCAGTCTCCAAGCTAGTATCTATATCGAGAAGTAAAGACAGGAACAAGGAGGCGTTTGTAATTAAAGTGCAGTTTTGATTCAGATCCTGCAAACAGAGTAAAGATCCCATTTAATCGAGTTTAATGAAATTCTTCGTCAAAGTGCACACCAAGCACGGACTTGATGTCCACTATAAACCGTTCCACCTTGACCTAGATTTGGGCTGGCTGCTCGAAGGAGAGTACAGTGAATGTCAGCCACTCGAAACGATCGATTACAGGAGCTGCCATGGTGTTCATATGCAGAGTTGAACCTGAAAGCAGGTACAGAGTCTTGAATACTGCTACACTGCCAGAAGTAAGACCGTCGCATCTCAGCCCGCAAGAAGACGACGATATTTCTGCCTCGCAAGTCGCAAATTCCAAAAGAAGATATCGAACCATTTCTCGAGTCCAACCAATTCCTCCCTCGTGCCAGTTCTGTCAATTTTCTGTCGAAACATGCTCCCTGTTGACCGGGGACTTCCCAAAACTGAAGGGTAGCTAGCAGATCCCTCGATGAAGCTCGGAGGTCGTGAGGCGACCCCACCAGTTCAGACTTTCATTCCTCATGTCCTCACACATTTTACTGCCTTCAAAAGATGGAAAAGTGAATATCATAGCACCTCAGAGGATATTCGTCTACATTTAGAAATCCCACAGAAGGCATCGAGCGTCTCGACAAAGGCAGAAAGGACCGAAGAACGATTCTTGCGCTGCATTTGACCCCAGAATCGAGACCGAAGTGTCAACAACCAGAAGAAAAGTTTGGCGAGATTAAGTCAAAGTCCGCCGCCATGAAAAACACATGCATCTGTAAGTACGATATATAGGAGTATGAATCCTTAATTACTAGCAAGAAGGGAAGACCCCAGCAACCAAGCCTCTATATATAAATACATAAATATAAACGTGCTTTATCTTCGTGACCGAATGTTCCAGTCACCGAGACCGCAATGGGACCCTGGCCAAAGACCGTGGCCGCTAAGCTGTAGACTGAAGAGCAGGTCAACACCGTCTCCCCACACCACTCGCCATTTGCACAGAGGCCGCGTGCTCCGGAGCACGTTTTATCCCATCAGATCGTGTCCGTCCATCTTCCCCCAGGAATTGGAGAGTGCGTGAAAGTAAGTACGCACCGGTCCCAAGAGCGGATCCCTGCAAGTCCCGCACTTTTGTTGTACTCCCAGAAGCCCATCACACAGTCATTCATTCCTCGTTGGATTAGATTCACTAACCCAATAAAAAACCAAAATCAACATATATCTCCAACCATTATATGTTTGTATACCTCGAAATACGCAGATGGTTTCCAACGAAGAGACTTATACCAAATACATACGTGTGAATATATTGCATGTAAAGGTTGATCATTGCTTTCTGCTACTCTGAGTTGGAAAATCTGAAATCGACCCTTTTATTGCCTGAGATTTTGGGCATAAGATAATTGTGGGGTCCGAGGCGAGAGCGAGGCGAGGGACCTGCACAGCGCCGCTTCGGACTGGGATTCTCTGAGTCGTGCGATCACGCCTTCGTCAACGAGCCACCTCATCACAGGCCAGCCCTGTGGCTGGCGAGAGCGAGCGCCGGGCCCAGCATGGAAAGCATATGATACCGCAAGTACCATAGATTTCGACCGCAGACCGTGCGCTACAAAACCAGGTCCAGAGCCCCGGGACTGACTGAGCTCCATCGCTGAGGAAGAGCCCGGACATCGTTGTCTGAGTCTGCTCGAGGAGATCGTTTCCGACCGATTTCGCGGTCCCTTGGATCCTGACGAGGAGAAAGGCGGAGTTATGGCAGGCGATGGAGAGGTGGAAGCTCCCAAGGGGCTCGTTTGCGTGACGGGGGCCGGAGGCTATGTGGCATCGTACCTCGTCAAGAGCTTGCTCGAAGCAGGATATCGCGTGAGAGGAACGGTGCGCAATCCTGGTACGTTTGCTGTGATCGACCTTTGGGTTCGCTGTCATGGACTCGGTCAATCTTGTCTCCCTGCTCGAACCTGGCTTGTTCCACTCCTCCACTCTCGAAAGGATTACTGCAAGGCTAGTATTTCGATTCAGCAAGTCCAGATTTCTCGCCTCTGGCAGTTGTCAGCCCAATGCATCGTATCCCGAGATGAGGTGTGATTATAAGCCTGAAAAACGTAGCCAGGACGGCCCTGGAGGTGCAGTCATATGTACTCCGTGGTCGGCAGACTGTGCATCCGAGGACGCGACTTGTTGTTCTGAAGCTCATGTCCATCATGAAGACTGTGGAAGTGATGTACGTGTCGTTGAGTTTTGATCACAGCGGTCCTGCCTTTCACAGCAGAAGCTGTGAAACCGTCACCAAAATATTTTACAAGTTTTTGAACTGTCAGCCGATTTGTTGGTTCGCCAGTGTGGAATCGTGAACGGAGTTTCCCACTAACTAAACAAGGTTTACTAGTCGGGACAAAGGTTTCCTGAAGAAGTACGAGTTGGGTTATAACTTCGACTTTTACTCACTGAAGCTTATCCATGATTGCTCGTTGCCTTCAGATAGCGAGCCAAAGACGAGGCATCTCAGAGAGCTACCAGGCGCGAAGGAGAGGCTGGAGCTGGTTTCAGCGGACCTCCTCAGCGAAGGGAGCTTTGATGCAGCGGTTGAAGGATGTGACGGTGTATTCCACACCGCCAGCCCGGTCGTTTTTCCTAAGATCGATCCATTTGTAAGAAATCCTCTGAACTTCTTTTCGCCAGTTTTCTTCAAGGCGGGAACAAAAAGACAACAAAAAAGGACATATCATTGAAATGATTCGAATCTCAAGTCGATCGTCTCACATTCCAACCGTTGCTGGTTATTAAGTAGCGGAGTCGTGCACAAATCTTTTCAAATCGCGTTGCTCTGTTTTGTAACTCGGCCGGGCATTACTGATTGGGTCCTGTTTTCTGGTTACAGGTAGAGATGGTGGAACCTGCCATCAAAGGAACCCTGAACGTTCTGAAATCGTGCTCCAAGGCGAATGTGAAAAGAGTGGTGCTCACATCGTCATCGTCAGCCTTTCGCATGCGACCAGACTACAGTGCAGATGTCCCTCTCGATGAGAGCAGCTGGAGCTCTGTACAGTTTTGCAAGGATATTAAGGTACAATATTAAGATACAAGGATTTGAGCTGAATGCCCGAATGGCCCAGCTCTGTGTTCAGAGAAAACCAAGCAGTCTTGTCCATATTCGCATGCCCAACCCTTGTATGTGCACTTCTTTGCAAGTGTGATTTCAGCACATTCGTCAACAATTGTTTGCTTCCTAAACATGAACTTACTCACCGAGCCAAGACATTTCGTGACGCATTACTCTGCGACCTAGCACCAGAAACTTTAGTTGCAGACCTGTCGTCCTGAATTCTTGCTACCATAAACATTCTTACTAATCGTTGCTCATGGTAATCCTGCAGCTTTGGTACGCACTTGCCAAAACCATGGCAGAACAAGCAGCGTGGGACTACTCTAAAGAAACAGGGCTCAATTTAGTTTCTGTCCTTCCCACCTACATCATTGGTTCCATCATTCCGCCAGAGCTGTCCGCCACGTCCACCGATGTCCTCGGCCTTTTCACAGGTACTCTATGAAAGCAGCGCTTTCAGGCTACGTCCTGTCTCAGCTCTCTGATGTTGTACTGCTTGCGTCCTCCACAACCACTTCCATGCTGCAGAACACAATCTCGAGTATGCAACTAGCAATGTGGGGCTCTTATCTGGAGTTCTCCTATCTCACACCAGACTCTTCTTCTGTTCTGATGCGCAGGGAAAGCTGGTAACTTTGCCAAGTTCGGCAGAATGGGATACGTGCACATTGATGACGTTGCAACTGCTCACATTCTGGCTTATGAGAAGCCGGAAGCAGAGGGTCGGTACATTGTGAGTGGAATCACTCTTGATAATGACGAGATGGCAGAAATGCTTGCTAAACGCTATCCGACTCTGGACGTGCCCAAGTGAGTAGAATTAGTCTTCTTCGTTTCGTTCCCTATTATTGTTTGAGAAATTGGATCACCAAGGAGCAACGCACAGTTGCACATGCTTCGACTGGTTCGACGTGCTAATTTGATTGTTACTATCCTTCAAGACATATGCTTTAGTATATTTCTTATTTCAGTTTTACTCTTAAGTTAATCATAAGCTGATTCTGATCTGAAACGTTCTCAGGATCGAGAAGGGTGCTGGCATGCCATACTACAACATCAATGTGTCCAAGCTGGCGAAACTGGGTTTGGAGAAGTACAAGCCCATCGAGGAGGCATTCGATGATGTCGTTGAATCGTATAAGCAGAAGGGCATGTTGTAGAAAATGGAATGAGCTGAGCTATCGACACAATGTAGATTTGGAGAAAGGAAAGACCTGCCTCGAAGCCCTGGGCCATGTAGCAGTCTCCCTCAATTTTGCTGCAACACTGGCGATGATGTTACTGCATATACTAGTTCAGAATCGGTCTCCAAAGGACCCTCCTCATTCATAAGGACACTGATATATAATAATGTCATCAGTCTGGAATTGTCATGAAAGGAAGCCTGCCATGATTTTAGTCAACCTTAGTACTAGAGGTCAATCATGTAAAGCTGTAAAGGAAGCCAGCGCGTTGTGGACTACCCAACGTGCGGGTATTGTACAGAAAGGGATATGTATCCTGTATAAACTCGATGCAATTCCAATATTCCTGCTTGGAATGTCTCACATTCTCCTGCATCGCCCTTTCTGAAACCCTTGTGGATGCTCTTAAGATTTCTTAGCAGACCAGACGCCTCGTACATTTGAAAAGTATACCTATGACCTACTGATCTGACGATTATCATCACTGTTACCATGGGAATCGGCAATTTGAATACCTCGAGTTGAGTGCCTAAAACTACTGTATCATGCTGACAAATCCTGAAGATTGTGAGAACTCAATGATTGTTAGCTGCTCCCGAACCGTCCACCTTTTATATTTTTGGTCATTGCTTTCCACAAAATGCAGAGCCTAATCTCTTCAGGTCTGACGGAAATTTAGGGATGTCAGCTTACCATTATGTGACATTCGAATTTCATTCGAGGGAAGCAAATGTAGAGGAGAACTAATAGTGTCAAATTTTAAATGATGTAAATGCACGTAATTTTGAAAGTTGAAGTTAAGGCAATTTGAATGTAGATAAACTCTCAAGTCTGACTCTCTTGTTAGGAGCGCACATTAGCGAAAACGCTTCGACCAATTCCGATACGAGTGAGCACATTCGACCACACATGTCAAATTCATATACAAGCATGTACGTATGTATACACACACCGTAAATGACAATAGCGGACAATGAAATGTCCAGATGTAGGTTCGTGTTGGCGTTTGCTGGGCTTCGCATTTACAGCTCTACTGCAATGATGGGATGTTTGGACAGTTTTCCACAGTTCTATGTAAAATTGGTACTAAGAAAGTTTCACTTTTGCACATGATTGTTAAGTTTGTTATTCTTCGCGTAGTCTAGAATTCAACGTGGAAAATTACTTGGCTTGTAATGGATGGTCATTACGCGTCAAACTTGTCCGATCTTGAAACATATTGAACCACTAGTGCTTCCGGCAACTTCAAATGGTGCAACCAGAAAAGTTGACAGCTGTAAACATTAGTGATTTTCTCTAGATTTCTCTAGGAGGCCTAAACTTCCAAAATTCTTTCCGCTGTCAACTAAAACTTACACATCCTCCAGGCAAAACAAGTATGGGACGTGCTTGAGGAGATCACGCTTCAAAGAGACAAATCTGCCATCGGAAGATTCTCGACCCAGGCAGAAGACAAAACCTCCAGAGCTACTGTATGTGCTTAAACCTGAATCGGACCTACAACAACCTGAGACGCTGAAAAAATGATTTTCCTTGTATAAATATCAGACAGAAAGCATCAAGTGAGAAAAGAGTTGAATTGCGCGTCCAGCATCGCACTCTCTAGATGCGCTCACGTCCAAGTCTGTATCCTTCTACCTATCTATTCTAGCACCTGTAGGTTCTATATACTACTGTTCATATAAGTTAGTTTAGAAGGCCTTGCAGAAAGTGGCCTGATCTGCCCCTTGAATGCCAATGTCCGAATGACATGGTTTCCCACTTTCTAGTACATGGCAGTAAGCCATACGTAAGGAAATCTACAAGATTATGAAGTCCTCCTCCTGTGTAACCCGTGCTTCTCGCAGTTATTGAAGACCTTTATCCGCACTAGCCACTTCAAAGTGGTAACCCTTTACATACAAATTGTGTAATTTTCAGGTCACTCTATATTACAGGAAGAGAACCAAGCCTCTCCAAACTTCTTTGCTGAACCCTATGGGTTTAGTAGCCGCTTCCGGTCACGGCACTTGTTCCAACGTGTGGATCCAAAAATCAACCTCATGTCATAGTAGCCCACCTGAGAAAAAAGCTAGGGGATGTTCTCCTCTGGAACTTTCCTCGCCAATTTCTTCCTCTCAAGTCAGCGCATGCACCTTGGAGTCAACTAAAGCTTTCCCCGTATAATCGAGGTAATACCGCGGGTTTCCTGGTCACATGACTCCATGTCATGTCAATCTGTGTGTGATTCACAAGCTCGGTCAATGTAATAAGACGTATGCATCGATTTATCTTCGGTTTCCGTTTAGTCCTGGACACCACCATCAAGCGCACAGAGAATTGACGAACAGTGAGTCTCTCATTTTTTTCCCGCTGAGATGTATAAAAACTCCTTATACGTGCCTCTCGCATCCTCGTATCCAACAAAAATGTAACAATTAACAATTCAACTAGCACGCCACAACTGCATTATATCTTCGTTAATCGAGACCTTTGATGGCGACTCCCTTACTGAAATACAAGACCGAGTGCACTGAATCTAAGGAAAAGTATAACTTTGCAGCTTGGACACTGAATAATATCAGGATGTGTTCTTACCTCATTCTCCTCCAAGAGAAGAGTCAACGTCCACCGAGACGTCACCTGATTTCTGCGGCTGGAGTGACGAAGTATCCTTGACAAGATTCGTCTTCTCCAGCAATTCAGAGTTCAACTTCAGTGGATCAGGGATGCTTTCAAATGTAGTTGCGAGTTCGCTCTCTCCGAGTGGAACTACATCATCCACTTTCTTGTTTTCGCACTCCTCCTTTTCTTCTATCGTACATACGTCTTCAACAGAATCGTCATTCCCAGCTACATCCACATCTGCCTCTCCAGAATCGCAAACACGCTTCTCATCAGGCTCAGGAAGTTCTCCGGCCAAATAATCACTGTCTGCGCGTTCGAACACCGGGATCTCCGCATCTAAATCGCCTTTCTCTTCAGTTGTCGCACCATCTTGATCATGTTCGGGCAAATCTGTTTGAGTGCCAGAGGGTTCCAAGTTTTCGAAATCCTCAAGGGGTGCATCTTGTCGCTCGGGCAGAGCGGTGCCACTGTCCACTTCAACCATTTCCAAAACTTGCTCAGGTTCAGGTGAGTCTCGAGCATCTACCGCCTTGACATCCTCTGCGAGGGGCTTGTCCTCATCCAAAGGACTCAAACTTACCTCACTTGCGGCCTCACCGCAATCATCTTGGGCAACTACTGGCTCTAAAGAATCGCCGGCTATATTCTCCTGTGAAGAGATGCTGGATACATCTTCCATGCTGCTTGCGTCTGCGGGTGTGCTCTGGTCGATTTGCAACGGAGTCTCTATGGTTGCGACATCGAGTATATCCACAGGCTCACTCAGTTCACCATCAACTACAGGTTCAACAATACTTACTGTATCTGTAGATGCTTCTTCTGTCTCCTCGGAGTTCCCAAACTCCTCGGAGTTCCCAAACTCCTCGGAGTTCCCAAACTCGCCGACAATCTCTTGCTGTTCCACCACGGCATCTCCGAGTACCTCTCCATCACCATCAGTTAAACTGGTTCTTTCATGTGATTCACTGACAGCATCATCGGCTGTCAAAACCAAATCCTGGTCCTCATCTCCAAGTGCGTCTGTGTCCTCTTCGATGAAACCCATTCCAGGGGCCAAGTCAGACTCCAACACCTCCGGCACTTCAGCATTTGTGCTCATTGAAGCCTCCTCGGAGCCAATATCACGAGGCGAAATAGCAACGGCTTCTGCTTCCCCACTCACGAGATCCTTCGTCGTATTGACTTCGTAAGAAAAGTCTTCAAGCCTCTCCTCAACTACCACATCAGAGCTCAAATGGCTCTCGAATTCGGCAATCTCACTATCTTCATCGAATAAGATTCCTGCTTCTGTGGTGGTGTCCGCAGCACAAGCGTCGGCAAGGCTCTGCTCATCGTGCCGCTTCGCGCCTCCAGGAGAAGCATCAGTGACATTATCACAAGATACCGTACTTCCAAGGTCTTCTTCTCGAAACTCAAAAGCCTTCTCTAGCTCCAACAGATCAGGATCTTCTTCGACAGATAGAAGAGCTTCCTGCTCTAATGATAGAAGGCCAGTGGTTAAATCATCTCCTAGCTCAAAATTCTGGCCACTAACGTCAGAAAGAAGACTGCTTGGCGCTCGCTCTACCTCTACTGTTTCCTCTTTCAATAGTTCAGAAACTACTTTCTCACTAAAAAACTTAACATCTTCGGCTTCTTCCGGAGTGATACTTCTACTCTCCGCAGATGCAGTCGGCACAGAAGATGCAGCAACATTCTTAATCTCCCGGGTTGCGTTTAGCTGCTCAGAAGATGTAGCACCACCAGAGTGAGATCTTTGCTTCAACTGACCGACTCTCTTTAGGATGTTGGCTAACTCACTCTCCACATCCTGTTGCTGCTTGGCGATGAGCTCTTTGTTCATAGACTGACCTGCACCACCCGCACTTCCACCTGATGGATTGACGGAACTACTTGTTCCGGTCCATTCGACGTGCTTCTCCACCTTAGTTTGGACCTGAAGATGTCCTGCCTGTTCGCTCCGCTTCTTCTTTTGTTCCATGGATTTTATCAAAAATCTCTCCTCTGCACATGCCCAATAATCAGACTGAGTGATGATCTCTGAGAAAAACGCTCCGATAATTGGTCGAACTCTATACTAGTAGCAGACCATCACCCCACAATGTATAGCTCGCTTATGTGGGTTGCGACAACAAAGAAAGCGGTAATGACAACCCATGCTCATTGGCAACTAAATTAAACAGTACCCTGATCGAAAAACACCAGTCCGTCAGTTTTAATTCTTGCGAAATCAGAGCCACGAATACGCGTTAAGGAGGGTCACTCGTATCCACTTGCACCGACTGAAGTGCAATATGAAACTCACAGCCTCATACTTCAAAACGTTTGTCCTTGTGACTTGCGTTGAGGCAGGATGGACGCTAGGAAGATGCAGTTCGCAGATTAATCACTGAGCTAGGCTTTTTAAACTACTGATAGCCTGTCATGAACCTATGGTCCTGGAGGGTAAGAGGCTAGAACAGCTGATATCCCGTACTTCCATCTGATGGCAAGCCTACACCCTCGGGTGCATCCACTTGTAAGTCCACAACCGGGACCTCGAAATGCCTGCTCAGAAGATAGGATTGATTCACTAGTGAGGAGCTGGCATGAAGGAACTACTCCAGGGAAGAACAATCACTTCGGATGACATAATGCTCAAAACTCGAACAGGCTGTTTCGTGAAGCCCCGCTACTGAAAGCTTGGAACTTACGTATTGTAAAATCGCCTGAATTTCCATCATACTCGTGGATAACAGTTCTTTTTCAAGGACTCCGACAATGACGGAAACTAGTGTAACAACTGAAGAAGGCCTAGAATGCACGGCTGATTACCTTCAACTTCCTCGACCTCCGCAATTTGCTCCACCTTTGCGGCCTCGCGTCTAGAAGAAACATGAGCAGAGCTTTCTCTATAATTAAGTTCTCGAAGAGAGACTCTCCCACGAACGTTTCTAACAACTCTCTCTATGCCTTTGCAGTGTTCACAAGTTGGACTCCTACATCTCCTAGATTGAAACTTCACCTCTCTGCAAACAGTGTTCAAATTTTCTTTCAATCTATCAATCTCCTTCTGGAGACTCCTCTTCTCCTTCAACCAATCCTGCTCCTTCGCAGCAACGATTGACATCACCCTCTCATTGGCCCGTCCCTCGGCTTTCCTCAATCCTCTCAGCTCTTGCACTGCCTTTTCGGCATCCTCAACTCTGCTGAGCAGAACAATCTTCTCTTTGTCCATCTCCACCTCAGCGTCAACCAAATCCCTCACTCTCTCTTCCGTCTGATATGCAGTCTGTGCCAGCCCTCTCAGTCGCTCCATCGCCTCTCTGAGCATGGACTCCAATGCCATCCTTTGAAATCTGGAGCATGCTCGCAGATCAAGGCGCTCTTCGTCGGATATACTCTTCCTCCTCTTCTTGGAGGAATTCGATGCTCTGACCAACGCTCCCAGAGCCATGAAGGACAGAGCGACTCCGAAATACTCACCCAAAAGAGGCAGAGCCTCATCATCCTGAACCTGAAGGTACGTGTTGATCAAATGTTTGCGTACAGGGCTCAGCTGGTTGTTAACATCATTCCAATACTCTCCATTGTTATTGGTGCTGTTGTTGTTGATGATGTTGCTTCTGCCGAAGTTGTTGTCTGTTTGCATCGACTCTGTAACTGCCATCGCCACTCCTCCTACTCCAGCTCCTCCTCCTCCTCGTCGAAGTATGTCAGTCATAATGGGCAAGCTCTGTCGCCACTAAAAGATTCAAAATACGAGATCCCCTCACGCAATTTAAGCACGCAATCTCCACGCTTCTCCTCTGCTATGAATTCTGCTTCATCTTCCGGGCCTCGGCATATCAGTAAACGAGTGGCGCAGCCGAGAAAAGAAGCCTGGCATCGAGAACCATGGAAATTTCGCTCCATGTCCTACACGGCAACCAGTTGGTTGTTCTCATTTCATTAGGTGCCACCCACACAGCCACCGGGACGTTAGCGCCCTCAAACCACTACTCCTCCGCAATCCAGCGAGCACCGCAATGTCCCGCCACAGGCGAGCAGGTCGGGGCAGCAATAATTCTTCCCAATCAGCAACTACGCTCCGCAGCGCTCCTCCGCGCTCTATTCCCACTCTCAACCCTGACAGTAAGAAGAATGCGGGAGGAGAGGCACCCGCCTACGACCACCGCCTCCGGCACGTCTAGCACCCCGACCCTGAATCAGTGCGTTGCAACAACAGAGTCGCCATCGATACTCGGCAGCAGAAGGTAGAAGCTAATGCCGCCGAGGAACAGTACCAGAGCCAACAAGATCACAACCACGTACGCTAACCAATCTTCATCTCTGCTTGGACCTCCATCCTGCACCATCCGGGCGCCAGCACGTTCTTTCACCGGGGGCGTCGTCTTCGTTTACTTTACCGATCGATATCAAAGCTGGTGATAACCTCTCTCCCTCTCTATATCTCTCTCTCTTTCTCACACTCAATCCTTCACCTCAACGACTGCAACTCCTGGACTCCCCTCAGTTCCCTCCCTTCCATTCGGCATCAGGTGAAAATGGACCATTACCGCCCCACCCACATAAAGCTCTAGCTCTGTCCTGGGCTATCCTTGTCTGGACTTGTGGCAATGCGGCAGGCAGCAGCAGCAGCACCAGGTCCACCCCTCCTCCCTCCCTACCCAGCCAGAGGCTCGGGCTTTCTCCAGCAAGCTTCAGCCCGCAAGATGCGGAGCTATAATGGGCAGGCAGGCTGCAGATCTCAGCCCTTTGGTTCAATCGGCCACCGGCTCCCAGTTATCAGGACCACCAGCGCCGCCGCACTCGGTCTCGCCACACCGCTTCTCTTTACTTCTCTTTTCTTCTCGGATACCCTCGCGCTCCGTCGGAGGCCTCCCTCCGTCGTGCTGCTGCTTTCGGAGCCACAGAAGTGCGGGAAGAGATCAGAATCCCAGGCACGAGAGAAAGCCGACGTAGAGGACAGATCGTCGAAAAGGCCTGGGCGATTATTTTAAGGTCATGATAGTAATCTCTGCGCTGTTCCTGCGGAGATCTGAAATGGACCCTGACGCTGCAGAAGTAGGGCGCGGAGGGCCAGCGGGAGGTATCCCCCGACTCACGAACGGCGCATACCGACAAGGAACTCGATCACTCGCGGGGCAGAGGTCGCGGCATGGAAAGCGGAACGAAGCGGCAGAGCGTCCAAGAAAACACTTGCTCGGGTTCTTCCGGTTCCAACAAGCGAGAGCGAGGAGGGTGGCATCGAATTCTGCGCTTCTCTCCGATCCACAAACTGGACAAGCGCACGGGGTGCGGTAAAAGAGACGAGGAGGATTTCCCAATCCGTTTCTACCGGCTCGGCATTAATGTTGCGCAATTATCTGCTCCCGGGCCTCTTCCACCACATCGATCCTCCTTTTCTCCTTTTCTTCGCTCGTCAGATTCCCAGCATCGCGTGGACTCCTGCATGCTCGTCTGCCGCCCCAGTTGCCAGGCGACTCGAGTGACCCACCGAATTCGAGATGTCGGGCCTCCGCTGATGCGTCAGGCCACATGAAGCGAATCAGTGCGGTGAAGGGAATGCGGCCCAGACTCGAGATTTCTTCAGCCGGTCAGCATCTGCGGCACGCACTCACGAGGAAGAAACAATACGCGGCAGCAGTCTGGCCTCGGCACGCAGCCAAAGAAAGAGATATCGAAACGGATAATTTCACCGACGCTGTAAAAGGGCAGCCAGAGCCTCCATCACCGGCTGGGGGAGTCCTCAAGCGATTTCCCGAGCGTCGATGCAAGATCGCACGGCTTCTAAAAGAGGAGAGTCGCGTCGGGAGTCCCAGTAAAATACAAGAAACCGGAGCTGAAGATCGGAGTCTTCAGACCTAGACCTCATACACGGTAGCAAATTCTGCTATGCGGGAGGCTGTGCCGTAAAAGGACTTTCTCAGTCGCAAGTTGTGCTTTTTCTACCCCGTTGTCCCGCTCCGGAGCCACGAGATTTGCCTCCATTAAAGGACAGTACGGTGCTCTATCCATCACCGTTAACTGTTGTGGATCGAGTCGGAAAATGGGACGCGACTTTTATCCGAGGGGTTTTACCTCGACCCCCGTTCCTTTTATCCGATGGTTTTGTCTAGACTCTGCTGTCAAGCATGAGCGCCTGACAGGTGGGGTCGGAAGAATGCTCTCATCATTCCCGAAGTCCGACCCTTCTCTTCAACGATCTTTCTCGTAATCCCCGTTTGAGCAAACTTACGATCTGCCAAAATTATCAGACCTGGCCTCGAGTTTCTCATCATGCAAAATCCGAAGTGAATCGGGGGATCGTAATAACAGCGTCTTTGAGCGATATTGCGTCGACTTGCATCATCAATAACAAGACCCTATTTTAGAAGACGAACATTTGCCGAAACCTCTAGCACATTCACAACCAACGCAGGACTGTCGAATGTGTGCCGTGACTAGTCTCGACGTCTCATTTATTCCCAGATTCTAGGAGGGCTCAATCGTATGATAACAACTTCGAACGAGGATATGATCTCTCGAGGGAATAGACCTAATATGGGCGTCCTTAACAACTGTGGTCTAAATTTACGTCCATCCCATACATTGGCCGAAGCAAAGTTCCAATTTTTAGAATTGTTGCCCGAATCTCTGAACCTCGTAGCCGGATTCTCCCAGCTAGATTTTGTTGCTCTCCACTTGGCCCGCCTTTCACGTTTTCACAGCTAGATTATCAGCAGATTCAGTTTCGAGACACGTATGATACATAACTCTATCCTTAATCGTCTTTGTTGATTTAAGTTGGGAGCGATAGCAAACTATGGGATAATATTTTGACGCACTTCTCAAAGAGTGTTCCATATCATACCATGTAAGAAAAACGAAATATATCATTCATTCCACCATGCTATTCAGATTAGTTCAGTCAAAATTCATCCAAATTATTAATCTCAATCAATTATAATTTCTGCTTTGTGTATGAAAAAGTGTAAAAACATATTCACCATGTAAATCTTTTGGATGTATTTGTGAATCATTTCAATATACCTTGGGTATTCTAGATTTTAGACTATATATTTCAATATAGTCCCTGTGATTTCATCTCTCTTGGTTTTGTTAGCTTCTACACATGCGATTACATTTAACCATCTTCGAAACATATGTAATGGACATGAATTGTTTCATTCTTTCATTTAAGTTTATCATAGAAAGTCTACAGGCATGATCTACAAATGTCAGACAACAGGCATCAATCTATTGATTATACTGTACAATCTAAAGAATAACATTCTTGAAAAAATCTATTGTTATGTGTGTATTGTTTGAATATACTATTTATTCAATCTTTTGATATCTTAAATGGAAAATGACATATTTTCTATTATCATGCTACTGGTGCCTAGCAAGTTTCATCTCAACCCTTTCGTTTGGTTTTATCCACGCTTGATTCCACGGTATCTTCTTCTTCTTTTTTGCTGCACTGCTGAGTATATCAAATCTCAAAATTACTTTTTCGACTCCAAATACTATAATTCTTAGAAATATGAATGGCGGAAGTCATGGAATGTGTATTATATTGAAGTGGATGTATGTGTACGGCCCAGAGCAGTTGTATATTGACGTAGAGACCAAAGACCTCGCCACCCTGGCATTTTCACAAACCGCGCACTGGCCTTTTCGACCAGGATGGTAGCAAAGGGGCGATGGGACGCGTCGGCGGACGTGCTTATGGACTGTCGAGAACGGGGAATTTCGTTAATAAACTGTGGATGGTGGGACGTGAACTAATAATGGACGGCAAGGTGGAACCTCTGAATGAGACAAGACGATGGACGAGAGAAGCGAGCGCAATCGGAGACAGAAACGCGACACTCTCTATCGGCAAGGAAGCACAGTACCGGCCCTACCGGTGATCCTGCGCACATGTACCACAAGAGCAACTGTGGTCGAAATCGGTACCGGTGTTCTATACAGTGAAAAGTAAATGAACCTTGTCCTGTTCCAGTGTTGTCTTTGCTCATCAATCCGTCTGTCCGTCCGTCCATCCATCGATTGCTGCCACTGACTTCTGCCTTCCAGGGAGCCACACACGTACACACTCAAATACATTTATGGCCTACAGGCGTTTGACAAGGCCAGGCAAGACGGTCTGTGGGCCCCACCTGATCAGCTGAGGTGGACCTGGCATTATATGTACCAGTTTTCACTACTGCCCTCAGAAATGTACAGTGGAATCGGTACTGGAGATCGTACTGATCACTCCACTGGACCACAGTCCAGAGTCCAGACTCATGTAAGTCGGGTTGCAGTTCACATGCTTTTAACCCCCACTGTTAGTACGTGCGAGGAGGTGTGATGCGCTCGGTCGCTCACGCTGTCGAGAGACAGAGACAGAGGGATCCGATGCCCACATGAGTGGCTGAATCGAACAATCAAGAGTTGGGCATCGTCGGTTCCGATAAGAGTGCCAGAGACACGAAGGAAATGAAATGTGGGAATTTTTTCCTGCACAAGTCCTACCCTTCCTTCTTTTCCCAAATTGGAATGATTGGCCTTCCGAGGAAGGACGGATCTTCGAGAGGCTCTCGTTAGATAAGGGTAGGAGTGCCGATACGCCGACCCCATTTGGATTCTGGAGGAAGGAAAGATCGCGGCACACTGGAGAAGTACAAGTACATGCTGAGCTCTGCAAACGTTGTTGTTGAATCTGTTGTTTTGATTGGCACCGTATACGCTCCGACCGTAGTTTCCGAAGGGATAAAAGGTAATTCGAATTCGAATTCCAACTGCGAATCTGGAAATTGAGAACGTCCACTGAGTTTCCCATCCGTTGTCAACGTCGTGCTTTAGTTTCTGCTTGAAAATATATCACCCAATGACTGTTTTCTAACGATGGAAGACGTAGATGTCCTTCGGAAATAAACAATTCCTAGTGTACCTTCCATTCTGAAAGCGAATCAAGTTTTGGTCATTTCTAGCAGGAGTTTTTCAACGGAAAATTCGATTCAAGTCTTGTGCATATTTGTATTCCGAAAACAAGAAATAGCGTTTACCGTCTTCACTTGACGGTAAACGCTAGAATTCTACCGGTAGACAAGCACAAACTCCATCCTGTCTCAACCACAGATCCGCCAAACAGACCGCCGTGATCATCAACTAATCCTGGTATGGTTCCGGCATCACTGGATAGATATATGATGTGATGTTCGAACTGAAGAGTTATTCGCCTCAGCAATTTGCATCTCAACCTTTCCAGAGCCTGTGCAATTCCGGCGAACACAATGCATTCTCTTCCCCACCTTGTGTTGTCTTAAACAAAGGATGATACTGGTCTGGTATACACCTTGATAAGATTAGTAGCGAGATTAGGATTATTTGACTGACATTGATCATAAACAAAACGAGGTTGATATATCTTATAGTCATAAACTACTTTGCTGTAACACATAATTACATAAATTCAACCTTCACGCTTCGAACCGTTTTTCATCCTTTTCTGAAGATGAGTCAAAAGCTTGATTGTAGCATGCTAGTCATAAACTGCTTTGCTGTAACACATAATTACATAAATTCAACCTTCACGCTTCAAACGATTTTTCATACTTTTCTGAAGATGAGTCAAAAGCTTGATTGTAGCATGACATTGATCGATAAGTGAACATTTGCCAAAATCGAGCACTTGATCACCATGTACATGCGTAAATCATGATAAAAGATTTCATTAAAAAAAAAGCAAACACGTGAACATGCAAATAGATTCAATTTTATCAATAACGAAGTTGAGCTTGCATCTGGGCAAGCTTGACACAAGACAATACAATCAAGAGATGGAGAAAAATGAATACGAAGCCCACATATACAGTAGCCATTGTTGATGTATCATTATTGATAATGCCGATGCACTTGCAAAAAGGATCAAACAGGTGGATTGTAGAGTTCACGTCACGCCAAAAGCTACTCTTTTTGATAATGTTTACTATGTTGTTATGAAGTTCATAGCTGGAATCAATATTCCGCTCCTTACGCTACTCTTCAATAATATTTGACATAGAAGTGATGAGACGTTTGACTGTCTTGAAACGAACGAACATATAATAAATAGTTGATCAACATGAAGCTCAATACGAAACCATTAAGTATGATTTACCAAGCATCTCCTTGCAAACCAAAGAAAATATG